TTCCTTTGAGATTTTCATATCAGAAGGATGTCATGCACGGCCGGAACTGGACATGCCCTGGCCACCAAGTATCCCTTAGTCGGATCACTATGGACCACCAACTTTTTCTGTGTTGGCGCTGTGTTGCTAAATCAGAAACAGAATCAGAAACAGCCGAGTAGAGCAACGAGCGGAGCAGCGAACAGCGAGCAGTAAGCAGCGGAAACTGTGTAGCTGAAGTTGAATGGCAGCCTGAATAGACCGCCGGACGGACTGGGATGGAGATAGGGCGACAAGGAGCCACCGAGCGAGACGGCCTGCGAGTGCAAAAAAAAAGGGAATATAAATTGCCTCTTAAATATGGAATAAGTGCGGAAAAGTGTACACCAGCCGACGGACCAGCCACCAGCAAACGGCAAACATGCACATAGATAAACTATATAGCTTCTGGCCAAGATAAACAAACACAAACGCACAGATGCAGAACAACAACAACACATTCGCAAACGAATGCAAAGAAAAAACGAACGAATCTGCAGAAGATGAAGCCAAGTTTTGTAACAGTTACAAAGATAAAGCAAAGTGGGCGTGTAATTGCGTATGTATGTGCGTGTGTGTGTGTGTTTGTCAGTTACCAGAGGGCGTGGGAGTGGGAGTGGCCGACGCCTTCACCTCCGACCATTTCTTTAGCTTTGCCTGCTCATCTTCAGGCTCATCTTCTTTAGCTCGTGTCTCCTTTGTGTCCCCTTTGCATAGAATCCTTTGGCAATAGACACATAAATTTTAGCCAACACAACATTTCGATTCAGATTCATTCCCCATTCAAAGCAAATGACTTAGGGGGCGGGTTCAGAATGGTGTGGGGCGGGGGGCGGTGGTTCGGCCTGGGTCCTAAAAGTGTTGAATCTTGTGTTTATAGCCATGTAGATTTCTCACTACTACTCATGTCCCCTAATCTCTTGGCCATTTGTTAATTTTCCACTTTCGATAAGATATATTTTGAAAACCAAACAAATGGATGCATTAGTTTTCATGTTCTTAAGAAGCAGAACAAAAGGTACAAAGTCTACCAAGAAGATTAATTTTGGGTTTCAAGTAATCACTTTGCTTTTGTTTTAGCAAACTTTGAAAATAGATTGTTATAAAGAATAACTTAGTAGATTACTCGACTTAATACTTAATTCATTAACAAAATGCTGTCTTAAACTGAAATATTGTTTTCATGCCACAAAGATTCTCTAACCTAAATTAAATAAATAACTTCTTGAGTTTGGTGAGTAATAAACAGGGAATAGCTTTTAAGGAGAAAAACATAAACAAAACCAAAAACTTAGAAACTAATGAGTCTTGTCTTCTGCTTTTTAATGCTCAGAGTAAAGAAATGGAAAACTACATTATTTTTTGATCTTATTTTAGATTGTTAAATTAAATAAGTAAAGGCCAAACATAAGTTAAAGGTACTTCTTACTCCTTTTTTTCATTTAGTGTAAGGATGATTTTAATTTAGTTTCATATAAGAAAAAGCTCAGCTCTTCCATTATCTTAATAGAAATTATTTTGAATGAGAAGACCAAAAATTATGAATTAAATTTAAAGCCGTATACTGTTTGGTTGCTTAATTACTTTTAGTTATTTATTTAATGCAGCTCCGAATTATTTTCAACCAAATTAGAGGCAGTTTCCTAATATGCAAATTATTTTGAACCGCGTTTCGCCTTCCCTCATAAATAAAGCTTAATTAAAAATCATACATTATGTAGAGATGATTAAGCAAAATAAACATAAGTTTGAATTTTAACAAAATTTGGGTTTGAAAAGTAATTATGGAAAAATGTTATTAGAGTAAATAACTTATTTAATTGAATTTAAGTTTAGTTTTTTAGTTCTATTTAAACGCTTGATTTTTTATTTAATATAACAACTTACATTGTTTGTTTAAGGCTGTGTAAACTTATTTTATTTTTTTTTAAGCTCTCTCACAAAAGTAATCATAACTTAGGCATTATTTATTCAGGGTTAGCAAACGTGCCGAGTGGTGAATGGATTTTAATGTTTGTTATCGGCAAAGAATTGAATTCCATTGAAAGCTCAGATAAATCTTTTTTGTTTTTTTGGCTAAGGATAGAGGTGTTGAATTCAAATCGTTAAATTACTAATGTTGTATTAACAGCAATTTTATTTTAATAAATTATTATATTTATCCCGATAACATTTACCTAGTCCCATTCATTCACGTCACACTTCGGCTGAAATTTTTATACTTTTGTTGGTTTCCATTCGTTGGGCCAATTGTGTGATTCAGCTTCGTTAAGAACAAATTGCATTAATTGATATTTTTTGCAGTATAAACCTATTATTAAAAATTCATTATTCCAGCCTGATTTAACAAGGTAACTTTGCATAATTTACTCGTTGCTGGCTAACGTGTCGAATGCGTAATTATTGAAAAATGTAACTACATTTTACTCGATAAAAATACAAATTTTATTGCGAGTTTCTCTCAATTAAAAGATACGCAGAAGTTCATTTTAATGGATGAGCGAATTGTACTTTTTGCAGTTTAACTTAACTTTTATTTTGCTTAAACAATATTTAAAAAATATTAAGTAAATTACTTGTCCAATTTATAAGAAACTATTTGGTCAAAGTGTATTGAACCCAATTTGATCTAATTAAAATTCCACTTTGCTCTCTTAAAGTAATTTCTGGTTGATTAGGCAGGCCAGGCTTCCCCTGTGAAATTCAATGCTCACGCCAACTAAATTGAGAATTCGAAATTAAGAGAAATTCTCCAAGGTGTAGAATGCAATTTTGTAATCAAACATTTAACTCATTTCTTTTGCCACGTTGATTGCCTCGTGCTTGGGTGGAAAGCGAGTGGAGGCAGTCTAATAGAAATACAAAACACATACACAAAGTTAAATAAAAGAATATGATACAAAGGTAAAGCCAAGAGCCGAACAAAGTTCCACCTTATCCCACTGCCAATCCCCGGGAAACTCATCCCCATCCTCATCGTTAATGCTCAGTTCTGGCCAACAGATCCGTTCACACCACAGGCCACGACTTTTGCTTTTTTCCCCGCCCGACTTGGCTTCTCCCAAGTCCGGATGGCACACAAAGTTGCCGCCAGCCAGCTAGCACATATAGTACATGGTATATATATATATATATATATATATATATGTGGATGATATATACACAGGTCCCGCCATGGACACATCGCTTTCATTTTAGGTGGCGCTGAACAGTAAAAAATCCCCTCTGTACACATTTCAAGCAAAAATTTCAATTAAGACTTTTACTATGAATTCATTTCTGTTTGCCTTCGTGTGTTTATGTGCCGGCGTGGCTATTTAGTATGTGTGCGAGCCAGCAGCTTGAACCATTGGAACAGGACCGCTGGTAATTTTTTCTTGTTTTATGTTTAAGCGAAATTGGTCAACAGTCTTTTGTTTGGCGCGCCGGATGCAATTTTAATCTGCCCGAATGCCAGGCGGACACACGCACCACAGGCGAACCTTCAGTGGGTATGATGGATAGCAAGGGTGGACGGAATGGTGGATCTCTCTCTCTGGTCCTTCGAGCCGAAGGTTGGATGAAATAATGACTACAAGCCACCAACACAAGGCTCTAAACCAGCCTCTAACAGACAGACAGACCTACGCACACACTTTACACGAAATGGCAAGAACAACCACATAATATTTTAGTTTTTTGACCCAAAAATGTCAGCGGGACAAGAATTATCACTGCCGCCAATGCCAGCCGTTGAAAAGCGAGGGGAGTTACAACGGTAACTGGTTACTGCCAGGAGCTAAGCCTCCAGAGATTTAAGAGATTTTAATCAAGAAAGCTTGCTGAGCTTGGGAAATTAGTCACTGGCTTAGCTTGGCAAAGGAAAACTCCTAGTCTCTACGTTTAAATTGTTTTCAACTTTTGTGGGTATTTAATCTGCTCAAAGGTAAGTTACAAATTATCGGAATTTAAGTGGGTTAAACTCCACTACATTTTAAACAATTCTGTTGTCTTTTACTATTACATTAAAAAACAGTTCTAATTTCAAAATTTTAAAACCTAAAATTGTTTTTTTTTCTTATTTTTGTTTACCAACGCACTAAAGTAAGATTATGAAAACCAAAAATTTGATGAAAAACAATTGGTTTGGACAGAGGATTACAGTTTTATGGATGAATAAGGAAACCATAATCCGAGCCAAAAAGAAAACTCATTTACAAAAGATATTCAAAAGTTTTCGCGGCTTGCTCAGAATATAAAGTGACGAAAAAAAAACTGGTTGGGTATAAAAATTCGATGAAAAAGGTTATGTAAGGTCAGAGTTTTTATTCGGGTTTTGACATTTCGGCCATATTGAAATGTGGCGGTTGACTTTTGGGCTGCTTTGAAAGGTTCCTTTAAAATTCTTTTTGATGGGATTAACGCGGGCCGCACACAGAAGCCATAGCATACTATTCGGGGCGAGCAGCATTGCCGTTTGATGGCATTAACCCAAAAGGTGGCCAATATCAAAACCAGACCGTAGCGAACCGAACCAAAAAGTGGGCCTAGTGCCAGTCGGGCTAATTTCATTTTGAGAACCGCCCTCGCAGCGCAGCTGGATGTTTGCTGTTGTTGTTGCCAGCCACGCAGGTTGCTCTTTGCTTTGCTTCTGCTTGTTTGCCTATGTTTGCCTATGAATAACAAGAAAACCAACAACTACGCGGGGGAAAGTGGGCTGGCGGGTGGGTGTGGGCGAGAGCTCTCTCTTGAGCTCAGGGTGAATGGAAAAGCGTCAGCCTCGATGGGCGAAGAGCTGGGAGGCTGCGACGTCAGCAGAGGCTTCTTCTTGAGGCGTTGCAAGGCGACGTCGACGACTGTCACTTTCCAAGAGGGAAAAAATCTGTTTGGGGCGTTTTTATATATTTTTTTTTCTTATTTTTTGCGTTGTGTCGCTGCTAGGAGCAACTTTGCCTGTACATTTCTTTTTGCCTTCTACTTTTGCCTGACTTATTTGGGCTCACCTTTCGGGCTTTTGGTCCTCGTCCTTGGCAAGCTGCTTAATCGTCTTTGTCCCTTTTAACTTTTGCGCCGCCAATTTTCTTCCCCTTTTCTGTTTCCTTTTTTTTTTTTGTTTTTTGTTAGTGTTTGTTTGGGCACGTTCGGAATTTTAACTTGGTCTTATTTCAGTTTTTTGAGTATTAAAATTTAGTTTCCTTTTCACTTTCGCTTTCTTCTTTTGCGACGGTCCCGTTGTATTCAACAAATTGTTCGCGCTTCTCCTTCAGCTTCACCTTCACCTCTCGGTGGCTCTCTTTCCTCTACACTCTCACTTTGCGAGGGTGTGCGTGTGCGGTGTGTGCAGCAGGTTTTCACAGTTAATTGAGTCTGCTCAGGTTTTTACCACTGCTGGTCACACTTTTTTACACTACCTTTCGCGGCACTCTTTTTGCACATATCACACACTAGGGGTCTCCTATTCTTGTGCTGCCTTTCTAGGCTTTTCTTGTCTTTCTTGTCTTTCGCCCGTTTTATCCGTGCTCCGTGTCCGTGTCCGTCTGCGTGCGCGTTCGCTCTTGCTCTGATGCTGACACAACGACAACGACGATGCTCCGACTCTAATTGCGTTAAAATATTTTCGCTCCCACAACAACAAAGCCAGCTACACAGAGCGAAAAACTTATAAATATACAAATGCAAAGATGAAATATACAAAAAAAAACTTAAGACTGGGAACTCTTTCAGAGTTAAAAGATAATATTTTAAAATCTTCAGGTTGATCATAAACTTGAGGCTAGGCTAGGAAAATAGATTCATTCTATCACAACATATCTCTCAGCACCACCGCTCTCTAAAATATCTCTTATAGTTTAAACTAATCGAAAAATATATATTAACATACATTTGCAGTATTTCCTTCGGTGTAGAGATGGAGGTGAGAGAAGAGAAGAGCAGCATCAGCATCAGCATTTGAAGCAACAACAACTGGCGCTCTCCAATTTGTCTGATGCTGCTTCTTCTTCCTTCAACTATGCCACACACAGTTCAATTTCAAGTTGAAAAACTTTTTTCGGGTGAATCTCTCCCACCAACACACACGCACTACACACACACACATATCAGAAACTTTGACTTTGAGCTGCTTTATGTGAGAGCCGCTCTTCGTGTATGTGTGTGTGTGCAAGCGAATGTTAGAGTGTGTGTGATTTTGTTTTCCCATCTCGTTGCTCCTTTATTGTTGCTGTTGTTCCTGTCGTCGTGAGAAAACGACTCTCGTTCGCTTTTCCCACAAATTTTCGTATTTCGTTTTTGGCGCAAGCCCAGTTTATTGTTGCCATTCGCTATTATTATTGTTGTTGGCCATTGTTGTTGCCGTGCTGGCATTTTTTGGTCCTTGTTGCGCTCAGTAAGTGAGAAAAGCCACAGGAAGAGCCGAGGCAGCAGCATCGTCATCCTCATTCTCGTCCAGGTCCTCGTCCTCATCCTCATCCTCATCGTCATCGGCATCGGCATCGGCAGCATCCGTACGAGTCCGTCATCGCGGCCGCTGTTCGGTTTCCTCTTTTCCGCCGCGCTCTCTGTGCGACAGGAGCGGCGGGGAAGGGACCGGATTAATAGGAGGGCCCAAGAAATCAGTTGGGCATTCCCTATCCGTGAAAATGCCTGTATTTTCTTCATGTTGTTCATATAATCATAAAAGAACAAGGGTTTTAATATGCTTCGTTGGATTGACTTCATTCATTGTTTGGGTATTTATTAAAATGTTCTTTTATTTTGCAGATTATTGAAAGTTTTCTTAAGTTGCTTAATATACAATATATATTAAATATAGGACAATGTTGTTTTATTGTTAATATGATCTAAATATCTATATAAAGTTATCTTCATTTATTTATTAAGAAAGCCTTAACTTTTGTTTCCAGAAAAAAGTGCGTATACGTAATCCCCCAGAAATACAAAATTCCTTGTTTTCAATTTTTGTAATAATTCAAATTTCTTGCAGGACAAAGTAATTTAACCGAGGCATTCACCATTACTCCAGCTTCTCCTCTCCTTGATCCGCTCCTGCTTCAACGCTCTGTGGCACTCACTGGTATTGTTTTTGTGTTGCTGGCTCTGTTCCATATTATGGTAGCATAAACATATATACTCGTACTCGTACCTTGCCTTACGTACATATAGACATTTTTTGCGTACTTTCCCGGCTGACTGGCGTTTTGTTCTGCATTGCTGTTGTTGCAATTGTCGTTGTAGGAGCTTCGAGTCCTCGAAGCACTTTGGAGCACCTCGTTTTTGTTGATGTTGGCACTGGCATCTGACGGTGTTGTTGTTATAACCGGTATTTGTATGCCAAAAGGGTATATCAGATTCGGTGGGATGTATGTAACGAGGAAAAGGAAAACGTGTCATTACTCAAGATTAGGGTAAGCAGTCTAAAGGAGCTCAGTAACTTAAATAGTTGTATAGCTATAATAATAAACTTAAACTTTCATACAGAGAAAATATTGACTATAGTGTTCATATATTTTTGTTTTCAGCCAAAAAGAATGCAACATTAAAAAACAAAGATAACCCCGGGTATTCTACAGTCCAATCATTATAGTATGCATTCCTAGGTGTTTTTGTTGTTCCTCAAGGAGGCGGTATCCTCGATTGTACCTGGGTCTGATGATTTGGCTCCGCTCTTGTTGTGGGTCGCCAGCGCTAAGGGCTGAGATGGTTGCCTTGTTTTTCCACGGGCGACTGTCTGAAGTGCAAATTTGCTTTAATTATTCCACGACAACAACGGCAGCATTTGCAACGGGTTGTGACTCAAATTCAGACACTAGCTTGTGGACCCTCAAGCAGCAGTCGCCCACACACATCCACTAGAGTGGACCTCTTGCAGCATACGGTCATGTGCACGGGGCGTATGAGTGACATTTTTTATATATATTATAAATAGATCACTGTTGTAAAATGGCTAAAGCTATCATATATCCGTTTTAAAGTTAATAAATAAGAGTGAATAAAGTGTCAAAGAATTCAATAAATATTTTCTGATATCAACTATATTTTCATTCGATTTACGATTAGATTGTTTTGTGATTTGTGGTATGCCTTTGTCTTACTCAAACATTACAAAGGGCTCCTAAGAATGAGTGTAATAAGTATGTCCTTAAAAATGTCTTTCGACTAAGGTTCACCCAAATGCCCTCGTCTCAGTGGCTGGTGGCGACAACGACAACAACGTTTACTTATGCTTCCTCCCGCGCGCAGGACTTACTGCCGCCCGCAGTCACGAATCGCTGCGACATTGAGTGACACCTTGTGAGCCGATCACCGCAGTTTCTCTCAGTGCATGACCCAGACATGACACTAGCCGGGCTTCCATCTAACCGACCAGCCATCCAAGCGACCAAGCGGGCTCCTCTTGGGTGGCTTCGTCGCATTTGATGCTTGACATTGTTGGCAGTCGATATTGGTTGTAATTAGCTTTAATTGAAATTGCTCCATTCCCGTCCAGCATCCAACAACCAACAACCAACATCCAGCATCCCGGATATGTATGTGTCTCTGGCGAGGGTGTGTATGGCCCCGTGATTTGGGTTTTAATGGGGAAAATGTTTGTAATTTTGGCAAAAGTTAATTTATGGAGACCCCAAACAAATCCCTGACCCAGCCACATTTCCAGCCGCCACCTCCGAGCTGTGACGCATTTTACGGTTGCCGTTTTGCCAGTCAAATAATTAGAGAAGTTCCATGCGAAAAGTTTATACATTTCTGCAAATTTTGCGGATTGTTTGAAATCAATTGATTTTAGCCATTTACTGTGGCAAAAGGGTCCGAGTGCGAAAACAATATGCAGATAGATAGAAAATAGGTAAATATATTGCCGGAAATTAGATAAACAAATTTACAATAAATATTAAATGCCAAGGGTGATTTAAATTTTAATGCTATGCATTGGCAGACCCTATTCCCCCCCTATGCGGGTAGAGTCAGATTAATATAATAACCTCTGCCTGAAAATGACAATAACCACTTTTAACCACTAGCAATTGTAAGCACTTCTCTGACTGCTTTTTCCCATAATAACTCATATCATGTAGTTATATTGTTCTAATCACAATTAGTTTACCCAGGTGAATTGCAGTGGAAATCTTTGAAGAGTTTATGGACAAAAGCAGAGTTTATGGCGCAGATATCAAAAGGAATACCATTATCTGCCTGTGAAAAGAACTAGGCATTTTTTTTTTTTATCAATTTTGGATGTATCATGATTTGGCGGCAAGAATTAGGCAAGGTAAATAAACAAAAATCATCAATTTGGGTTTTATGCAAATGCAAGGTAAACAAACAGACAACTTTATGAGTGTTTGTTTATTCCAAATGATTAATCTAAATACATATTTGGGCAAGTATTTAGGGATTAGGGAGCCATTAGAATTATTGATCTCCCATTAATGTCAATCAATTAGACAAATTAACTTCCGCCTGCTACCGCGCTGGTTTCCATGCGAATCAATTACCAAATCTTAAATCTCTAAAGTTAATCGAATGATAGGCAAACATCAAGTCGCGACCATATCAAGCATGTGAATTGATTAGCCCGGCCATAAAGCCATCAAACGCTTTCGATTTTCGATATTTAGATTGATTGAAAGCTTCGAGAGCGACTAATTAAAGAAAAACCAACCTTTATCTGGAGTCATCAATCATATTTTATTGCATACTTTTTCGTGCCATATATTGGGCCATATAAATAATGTATTTTCACACCGCCAAGTACAGTTATGACATTGCATTCGGCATAGTAAATTCTGAAAGTAGCGACCACTACCGTTTGGTTTGAATTTATAGCCCAAGCTGTTTGCCGAGTGGCATGGGAAATTGTTTTGTTGACCATTTTATTGGCCATATAAGTACATGGGCTAGAGATATAGTAATGCAGTAGCAAGATGGCTTACACCATCTTGGCTACCGATCGACTTGATTTACGCTTTAGCCGAAGAGCGGGTTTTGGCCCACCTTCAGTCTCAGGTGGGTGGATCGGATCGCAGAAGAAGATAAGAAGGAATGACTTACAAGCGATACAACTTCGTGCTGCTCTTCGGGAATCGGAGAGTGAATGAGTTAGTGAGTGGGTAAAGAGAGCGGATTCGGATTCGGATTCAATTCGATTCAATTCAATTCTTTCGACTGTATTCGAAGACGTGTGTGAGTGTGCCTATAAAACGCTTGCAGGAATTTGCAGCGATTTAGTCGAGTGTTCAAGCAGGTTGCGGATCGTCTTCGCCTCAGTTTTCGTTTCCATGGATCGCGATGTGCGAATGAGAAAGTAAAAGTTTACCCTGAACGACTCCTCAGTCTTAATTAATTGACAAACTCACACTCTTCCGAGAAGAGTTCTAAGTGAAGTGGAGAAAACAAAGAGTTCTGGGAAAAGTGACAAAGTGCCCAGAGATTTGAGACATCAACGAAAGTTGTCTAATTTCCTGCCCGCCGTGTGAATACAAAGTAGGTTGCCCCCATTCAACTTATTCCCACCATCACCTTCACAAGTTCAGTGGCTGTAATAAAGTAAATACTTTAGATATTTCACATTTCTGGCTGTACGTGTTTTTTTGCGGAACATGAATTAAATGCCCCGAAAGCAGCCACAAGTGCAAATGCAAATTACACTCGCTTATGATTAAAACGCCCGCCCGCTTTCGACTTTGAGCTGTTATTAATTTCGGTTCATATATTTCACTTTATTTACGTTGCGCTGCGCATTTGCATATTGGCCGAAATTAATGAAATGTGAATGATTTCTTAATGAACTTGAAATGAATGCATAAGAATATTTTATTGCATGAGGAAAATCAATTTGCTGCGCTACCAATTGTATCATAATTTTAAATGTTATTGATCGAACATCTCGAGCGGGTTAAGCCATTAATGTAAGCAGTCAACGAGTTCCACAACGCATTAATTTGTGTCGGAATGGGAGTTGATAAATTGGTAATAAGAATGAATTAACTACGCCGTGCGTGGAACGGTAATGCATTATATTTTAAAATATAATCGGAAGACTTCCTCATTTCAGAGTGTAGATGTAATTAAATTGATAGGTAGAAAGTAGTTTATATTGCAAATTCAAATTTAAAAAAGATTTGATCTAAGTAAATGGAAAAGGGGAAATTTTGAAGTAATGAGTTACCATAACCCATTCCTTTTTAAATCTTAGCCTTGTTGCCTATATAATCAAGTAAAACTAATAAACATCCCATTGATATTAAGAGTTGACATTTTTGCTGTTTCCCCATCAAAAACAATAATATTTGATCTAGATCAAAACATGCCGCATGCTAGAAAATCACTTTTATAATATCATAAAAGTACAAACTTTATAAGTGAGAGCCATTGAAAACATCTCCAAAATACTCATCATTTAGTTTCGTAATTTTTGCGGCTTAGATAACCAGGGGAACTCTCTTCTAAAGACCTAAGATACAAAGGCGGCCCTACTAAATGTAAAGGAAAGACATGCATAATTAAAAGAGAAACCCAGACCGAATCTTATCTTATGCCTCGAAAATTGGGCCAATAAACACTTACCACAATTAGCAGTTGTCAACGCCAATAATGACAAAGGCCAAAGCCAGACGAGCCAAGTGTAGAACGGAGTGAAGTGGATCCGACCACGGATTACAGATATTGATAATGTTTTAATAAACAATTCTCGCAATTGAGAGAGATAAACCCTCTTGGGAATCCACCTGAACCGAAATCCCAATTAAAGAAACGAAACCAAAAAACTGAAATCGAAACCGATCATATAGAAATAACATTCATGGCTGATTGATATTCGAGTGGAGTGGGTCTGTTAATGAAACACTCGTAAGTGGAGTAATCACACATATTTCGCGATCCGATCGGAATCGGAATCGGAATCGTGAAAGCACTTTGAAGGGGACCCGATCCCGTCTGCGTATTTAGCATTCGGAATCAATCACAATTCACACTTCGCCACACGGTAGTTGGGGTAGTAGGGCAATACAAGCCAATTAACTCATCCGGCGCAACGATAAGGTGTCCCAGCCCCACCTCCACCACCTCCCCATATCGATTCACCGAACAAATGGCCATTCGATTTATATGATCGGCTCACTCGAGTGTTCGGTTGATTTTTATTTTCCTTTTTCCTTGATTTCATCTTTATGGCTAAATCTTTTTCGTTATAGCACACACACTCGTTTATAGCGCCCTTAGCTATCGGACGTTATTGTCAGATAAGCCACTAACATATTATATTATACGGATTCTCTTCTATATGCTGCGATCAATCATTGAAAAGTCTTTTATATTTGCTATAAATTAATGCAAATATACGACCTAAGATAACTTTGTGAAAGCTTCACCCACGAATGGCTCCAACGAAATCCAACTGCAATAAAAGTTTCCATCTACTTGACTTGATAACTTCAATCGAGCTCTATTTAAAGAATTCTCCTTAACTCTTTCGGGGCATAATATTATTGATCAATTGAGTGGAAAAACTGGAGCTGAGAGCTGGAGACGTCTTCATTGACGTCAATTTGAAGTTAAACAGCCAGGAACCGATTCATGGTAATAAACTCTGTTTTATTGACACCCAATTAAGAATGCTTTGAACTGTGATCATTGGTATCTTCAGGAAAAACAACCGATATCAGAGTGTCTTTCAAAATATTCCTATGATAATATCACGATTTATAGATATCAATCTGATTGTTGTGGTATGACAAAGTAGAAGGCATATTGCTTAACATATATTATATATACCTCTACGATACACCTACGATTCATTCAACAATCGTCATAGCTTTAGTTAATTAACAATGCCCTACAACCGGCTAATCGTAACCGGAAAAAGCCCGGGGAGATTAGCCAAGTGTCCAATATCTCCTGCTATATCTGCCAGTCGGCCACATGTGACTCTGCGTGATAACAATCCGTAGAAATAGCCAACTGAAGTTTCCCTCCATTTGAATTCGTGGTGATTCAAGTGAATTGTTCTCAAAATTTACACGCTCCCTGAACTCAAGTGCTCAGGGGATTAATTGTGTAAGAATGCGAAACTTATTATCTGTTCTGATTATCTATCATTGAGCAGTTTTGTAGACAACGCTCGGTTCTAGCCAATCGATTAGATTAATAAAACGGCAATAGGACAACAATAGTGTCATTTACAAAAGCAAAATCGAAGAACAGAAATGCGTTTCTTGTTGGCTCGTCTGGTTCGAAAGTGAATCACGTCATCGGGTAGCCTGATACTAAGCCACGTCCAAAATCGGGTGGGGTACCTCTGTACGTAATTTCAAAATCGGTGTAAAATGTAAATGCTTTTGGCCCCCATTTGGCTGCGAACATTGTGCAATGGGGCTCGAAGCGTTCGAAGAAAAACCTTTTCGGCCAAAAATGGCTTGGCAGTGCTCGTGCTAAGTAATCCGGACCCTGACCAGTTCTCCAGCTTTGTCTCCAGGTACCCAGCCCTTCAACTGGCCAACAACCACTCCGGCCAACTGACCCAAGCTAACTAACTACTTCGAATTTGCTTATGCTCTGGCCAATCCGATCAGGCAAACATGTCACGTAGAATCATTCCTCGCTGTTGTTCATTCGTTGGCAATGCAAAATGCTTTTTGGTGTGGGTGCAGGAGGCGGAGTGGATTCAGGGCGGGGGCAACCTCCGGCAAGGTCAAAAAGCGGCAAAACCGATGAAGCAAAGCTGAATGCTTAAATTATTGGCAAGGGTTCACAGGGAAATTCAAGATATCCTTAACTAAAATTAGCTCAATTATTTAATCAAAGGGCTTTCATGGTCCGTAATCCAATTAAGTCCTTAAACTGGTTTAAATGTTATGGGCAAATATTAAATATTTAGATTGCTTTACGAATTATTCTTTTGCTTCTTGGTTATATTTTACAATGTTCATCGCTCTTATATTTGATCAATATTTTGTAAAAAAATCAATGCCGAATGCTAATCTGGAAAGTATAAATTAAGTACCGTAAAATTGCCAAAATCGTTATAATATACAATCGCGTAAAATTCGTTTTAAATCTTAATTCCGCATTTAATTGCCTAGCAGTGGATTCCCTCGAGTTATTCACCCTACAGATGACCTGTAGGCGGGTATATACGTTAGCCCATTTGGTGTACGGTTATATAGACAGATATATTTGTATAGTATGTCTTAAAACCCCAACAGATGACACACGAATGCTAATTAAGCCGCTTTGTTCGCCATTTGTTCGCATGATAGCACGTGACGATGATATGCCGATGATTATTATGATAATTATAATGATGATGAAGTGTCGAAAAGTTTGTCAACTCGGGTCTGTATGATACCAGACACGCGTCAATTAGAACCCCGAGCCCCCGAAAAAAAAAACAAAATACAACAACAGACTTACTCGAGTTTTTTAGGCTTCGCTCCAGATTAAGAATGAGTTGGAAGACCGGAAAGCCTGAGGCAACAGCTCCTGGGGTGACTGTCCAAGCATAAATATTGTCTAAAACAATTTTGCTTACAGCAAATTACTCATATCAATAGCGGGGTTTTGTTGAATCGGCGCTAATTAGAGGTGAAAATTGAAAACATTGAGCGTGTCTGGCCAATTATGCAGTTGTGATGGCAAATAGACTTTTTGCGTCCCCAACCTTCCTGATATCAGAGCTACGGCTGTCTTCCCCTGTTTCCTGTCCATTTAAGTCTATATTTAGTGCTCTAATCAGAGCGTGAATAAAGTCAACATGTTGCACATTGTTTAATGACAAAGTAGTTGTAATGAAAAAGATCAGCATACTTATTATACCGAAGTTTTCTTGCCCTTGCTCTTGCCCCTTCAAGAGTGTTATCAACCCCTTTTCTAGCTGTTAAATCAATTTGTTCGCATTTCGGACAGACTTGTCACCTGCTATTTGCTGCAAGCCTTTGTGTGAGCCATAAATTAGCGAATCGAATAACGCAACTTTGGAACAACTTCAGGGGAGAGAAAAAAAAAACAATTTTAAATCAACATTTTGCCAGGCAACCAACATGCCTGTGGTTTTGTTTGATTTCAGCTAACGAACCGCATGACTTGATGTCACATTTTGTTCTCCTCGCCGCAGAAGCTAAAAAAAATAGCAAAAACAACGGAAAGCCCCGAAAAACAAATAATCACCGAACGTATAAAATAATCAATTCAGCCTCATTATTTCGAGACATCTCGACGCGCTGTTAGAAAACAAAAAACGGGAAAAAGAGACGGAAACTGAAATGAAATTAAGCTCACGTGAATTTATTTAGATAAAACGCGTCATAATTGAGAGTCAAACAAATGGCTAAAACACTTCTTGGTCATCAAAGCGGGAACCGACCAGGTTTTACATATTCATAGGAAAAGGTATGAGTACATATGGTATCCATATCCCAGACCTCATATCATGTGTCTCTTTCGGGCCGAGTGATATAATTAAAGCTAATTGCTGTTAATTTTTATTGAGGTTTTAGAAGTTTTTACAATATTTATTTAATATTTACGTTAGTCTTTAACGTTTTCACAAGTCCACAAAGGCACTGGCAAAAATAAACTATATTTAAATTATATTAAATGGTTTTGATATCTAATATATTTAATAGGGTTCGATTTATAGGAATGCTGTTATGATTTTATTTAAATAAAAAGTGGGATGATTCTGTGGGTTAATTTCTCATTTAATATTGATATATTATGGTTAATATTGATATTCTTATGGTTAATTAACAGATCCTAGACATTGTCTTAACAAATAGTTACAGAGAAAAAATGTTTTTCTCATTAATAATTTACTACTTTTTTAAAAATTGACTTAATAATATAACATTTGTAACATTGTTTAATAAAAGTTGCAAAATAAACACAATAAATAAACTATTAAATCACTCAATAAATAAATAAATTTATTGGAAGGAATAAAAAAATTTGATTCTCACAATCAGCTTAAAATAACTTTATATATTACCTTCATTGGCAGTGATAAATAACTGTTTGGATTGTCAATTAGCGCCTTGACATTTCGCCCAGTGTATTTAGCAGGTGCCTGTACATGAGTGTGTGTGTCCACCTGCAGCTGGCAGAGTGCCACCTAATGGTAATGAATTTATTTCATTGCTAAACGTCGAACGAGATAGTTGTAAAACTCGCGTATCGTTCATTAATATTTTTATACTTTTGATTCGCGACGCCGTCAGATGTTTAGTGTAAGCCTTAAAAGCCATTAATCAGACCATAAAACCATCCATCGAGCCACGTTCGCTGATCATAAACTTTTCTACGTTAGATCCATAAGACGATGACGGCCACGGGAGAGCCAGGAGCTCGCGAAGATCCCTCCGTCGTCGGAGCTCCGGCGACCATAACCACCCCGACGACCATAATAGCACCAACCCCGATCCCAGTGCCCAGCGATGTCCCTATGCCCAATTCAAATGGAAGTGGCAATGGGGCTGGCAACCACAAGAGCACCATCGTCATCGATAGCCAACCCAAGCGACGGGTCAGCATTATTTCCGATCCGCCAGTGATCGGAGGGTCCGGAGGTCTCGGCTACGATAATCCCGCCTACGAGCAAAACCCAAGGCGTAAAATTTCACAGGTAAGCATGCAGGGAGGACTTAGCAATTCACTATTAGCTGGCTATTGTGATTATTTCGGTTGATAGTTGCATCGTAAAAACGGATTTTCTATGTGCACTGGCCATATAATCTCTTAATGAAAGTATATTATTGTCACACGGTCGTAGACTTGTGCTAACGATAACGGTTTGTTATTCAGTGAAAATAACTTCGATTGGTATTCCCATCGCAGACTTCCACACACTCGCACACGGATATTGGCCCGGCGCGAAGGAAGAGCATTCTGAAGGACACAGCTCCCCACAATATTCCCGACAACGAAAGTGATCGGGCCTCAACACATAGCTATGGTAAGTGGAAAAAAACACTGATCTAAGGATCGTAACTAGACATATATATAGTTGATTAGAAACTTTATCTTGAAATAGATAATCAGGTAATTCCTGTCATGAAGGTATGCCATATCTCTTATACTCTGAAAATATTTCTTATATAGTCTGCGACGTACATTGTCTACACCTCCGTCTTAAGCCCGTTCAATTGGGTATTTCCCCAGCGGACACGTTTATAAAAACTTTTATCAGAGGCGCCACAATGAACAATTAAATACTTTTGAAAACGTGCAAGTATTCATTTTGAGGGCATTAAGTATAAATTATTTTGTAAAATATATGTCTATTTCAAACTATCTAGAGTTGGCAATGCTTTGGCACATTTTTAAACTTCTTATTGACAGTGTTATTTTTTCCAAAATATGATAGGAAGTTTCCCAAAAAGGCCAGTACCTGATTGTTACGGTCTAGTTGCGATTGATTGGCTTATATTAGACAGTTGAAAAATGCAAATATCTCGAGTTAAATTGACTGTTTGATCGAAGGCAATGGTTCTGCGTCTATTTAATTTTCCAGTTGACATTATCAATTAGCGGGACGTTGGAAGTGGTCTCTACCAATACCGAATATTATTGCGTAGGTCTTGCCTTTGACGTATGCAAGCAAGCGTTCCCCTTCGATATTATGCCCATAGTTATCACCTAATTAGAGATCCATGATGGCTGACGAGATAATTTTCTTGCGGTCTATTGAGATCTAGGTACTTGCGTACTCATCGAAATTGTTAGACTGTTTCATTAATGAATTGCAACAATTTTGTTTCACAGAAAACTATCGTCAGAATGCGCTGGACGTGCTCAATTCGAAGTACAATGGCCACCAGATGGGACACACGTCCGTGGGCGACAGCAATGGCGGGGCCAACTATGTGGAGGAGTCCTGGATGTACACATTCTGCCTGAAGTGCCGCGGCGAGGAGCCATCTGCATCCTGGGAGCCACCCTTCTGGCAGAAGATATTCCCCTACCCGCTCTGTCCCACCTTCAGAACGGTATCTCGCCTTATTTCAATTATTCTGATTGGTAAGCAAACTATTTGATTGGTTTTACAAATTGTAAGAAACTGAGAGACCATTTTAGATTCAGGAGGTTTCAAAATGAAATCGGCAGTTTACTCTACGAATAAGCTTTATGCGAATATATGAAAAGGTTAAATCACTAAAACCTGTGTTTAAATTTTTTAACAACAACTCTACAACTCTACGTTCTTCAATGTCAAACTTTCGTTTCTGTCGGCCTTAATAAGTAAACAATAATAAATAATAATATTTAATTTTCGTATATAGTCTAATGAAACATAACTGAAAATGCTTAAATGCATTGCTAACATTTTTTAAATTGATTTTCGTAATTGACGTTTGCAATGATTTTTCAAGACCTGATTCATAAATCTATTTCCTTTCTGAATTTTAGGTGTCCTTATCTGGATCACGGCCTTTGTGATCATAGGCGACTCAGCCGCCCCTGGAGGACAGCTGTTCGGTCTAGTCGTTCTCACTGTGGCCGCAAACTTTGGTGGCTACCTGATATCGCTGACTACCTTGCCACGTCTAATTGGCATGCTCCTGGTGGGCATTCTTTTTCAGGTGAGCAGCGAACATAATTTACGTTTAATTAAGAAATCGAGAGCAAAAATATGAATTCAGAAAACTTTTATCTAACCTAAATGTTAATTTTTCCTAATTTTAAAATTTTCAGAACGTGGGCTGGGCGGATATAGATGGCGACTTCTCAAAGGTGACGGCCCACCTGCGCAAGTTTGCACTTACCATAATCCTGACTCGAGCTGGTCTCGAAATGGAGCCGGAGGCCTTTAAGAAGGTGTACAAGACGATCTTGAAGCTGGGCATCATCCCGTGGTGCGTGGAGGCGGTTGTGATGGCCGTAATGTCGCGTTTCCTGCTGGATCTGCCCTGGATCTGGGCCTTCCTATTGGGTTCCATCATTGCTGCTGTGTCGCCAGCTGTCGTGGTGCCCTGCCTGTTCCGTTTGCGAACCAAGGGCTATGGCGTGGCCAAGGGTATTCCCACGTTGGTGGTGGCCGTGGCCGGAGTGGACGATGCTTTGTCTGTGGCCATTTTTGGCATCATCAGCACAGTGATGTTTTCCGACAAGGGTCTGGCCTATCAGATTGCCCAAGCTCCGGTTTGCATCCTGGGTGGACTTGGATTTGGCGTTGTCTGGGGATCGCTGGCCCGCATCTTCCCAGAGAAGGGCGACGCATATGTGGTGCCGTTGCGGACGCTGCTACTCTTCACCGGCGGATTAATGGCCATTTACGGCAGCGAGGAACTGGGATTTGAGGGTGCTGGACCCTTGGCCGTCGTGTTCTCAGCCTTTGTTTCCAACCTGTTCTGGTGCAAGGACGGCTGGGATGTGGAGGATAACCCGGTGTCCACCGCCTTTGAGATCTTCTGGATGATCTTTGAACCTATTCTGTTTGGTTTAACCGGTGCCACCATAAAGATTCGCGAGCTGGACTCGCACACGGTGTCTATTGGAGCGGCCTGCATCTTCACGGGCGCCATCCTTCGTATTTTCACAACGGCGGGCATTGCATTTGGCGATCGCCTCAACACCAAAGAGAAATTCTTTGTGGGATTGTCATGGATGGCCAAGGCAACAGTACAGGCAGCTCTAGGACCAGTGGCCCTCAAGCATCTGGACGATAACTCCTCGGACGACGAACGCAATTGGGCAAACATTGTGCAGACGATCTGTGTGTTCAGCATCGTTCTGACAGCTCCACTCGGAGCAATCATGATCTCGGTGACAGGTACCAAACTGCTGACTAAGACCAAGCAGCCGCAGGATCTCAGCGGCTGGCGTCGTAGCCACCGGCCGTCCATTCGCGATATCAGCATCATTGACGAGGAGGAGGAGCGCGAGGATCCCGAGATTCCCGAAGATAAGGAGACGCACGACAACACGCTAAACAACGCCCACATCCCCACCATTTCCTATAGCTACAACACATAGTACCGCCTTGTTGTGCCAAGAATAATGTTGATTGTTTTCTTATTGTACACTAGATTAAGCGGACCCTGCATTCCGAAATAAATGACTTAGTTAATAAACTACTAGTTTTCCATTTGAAGTCGTATTTTGAACGATCTTCCATATTGTAGTCTTAGGATATTAAAAAAAAGACAATACTCCTATTAATTTCATGAAATATTAAGTAAACCCATACTTGCCCCTTTTCTCTGTGTTGGTTGATTTGATTTTCTTCAAATCTTCGTCGAGTTATCAAACAAACGAGTTGTGAACAAGGAAAAAAATATTAATATTTCCATATAAGAATATATTATTAACATTTCACAGTTGAAAAAAACCTTCTCATTTACATTGTTAAAGATATTTTTGCACAGGCTCGCCTAGAATGGTTTCCAGCTCCTGTACCGCACTCCGAGTGTTCTTCTCCACGCGCTGGTGCTCGTCCTCCAGCAGTTCAGCAATGAAGGGAACCGTTTCCGGCAATAAGGGAGCATAACTTTCACCAAGCTTGCGTGCAATGGCTACGCAGCTGTTGAATGCCAGGATTCTTACTTCGGGCGTAGGAGTGCGGGTCTTAAGGAGCACTTGGCTATTTAGCTGCTTCCACATCACATCGTTGGTGGCCACCGCTAACTGAGCGATAGTATTGCTAAGAACTTGCTGGAGCGGTTCATTTTCCAGTACCACTTGGTTCTCCAATTGATTAACCAGTGGTGACATCACCGCGTTAAAGCGATGCTCGTTGATGAAGTCTTCACTGCAATACAAGAAGACATGATGTAGAGTGTTCAGTATTGCCGTTAACAGCTCCACATCATCTTCCGGATCTCCGACTTCGAACTCCGGTCGAGTAGAATTGTGCTCTGCCAGCAATCGAGACGAGTCTTCGACAAATTCACTCGCGAATAGTACAAACAATGACTTTAGAGCTTCGGCGATCCGGTTGGTCAGCAGGAAGTAGGTAAGACGAGTTTCCTTTGAGTTGCTCTCCAGCGCCCACTTGTGAACTCGAGCGTACATGGGACGGAAACTGGTCTCGGATAGCTTTAGGATCCATGTAACGAATGTCTCGGCAATGGAAGCCTCCACATCTGAAACCAGTTGCCTTTGCAAGCTGCGTCCGCGAACATGCAGCCGGAAGTCTAGGGCTTGCAGGAACAGCTCGCTCAGGAGATCCTGAACTGCCTGTAATTGTGCCGCTGTATTGTGTTTGATGCTTTGTAGCAGGAGCTGCTGCATCAGTTGTCCCAACTCATCATAAGCATGCTGCTCTAACAGACTGGAGAAGGTCTTTGCGCAACTGGGAACAAGGATGCGGACTTCCACGCCTTGGGCGACTGCCTCCCAAACTTCAACAAGTCGCTGCTTTAGCGCCTGCGTGCGTTTATCCTGCATCAATTGTGGACTCTCAAGTTGTACCGATAAACGGGCCAGACCCGCTATGATGTCGACCAAATAGGGTCCCAGGAATAGCGGCAGAGCCTTAAAAAGCTTGTAAAGAGCTGTAAAATAAGAGAACGAATTTTAGTAAAGGAATTTATATTTCCAAAAAATTTGTGACTTACATGTTACCAAAGTGACACAGACGTAGTCTGGTCCTTGCTTGAGAGTGGCCATTTGGTGAACCTGCTCCTTCAGCAACTCCGTAAGCTGGGGCGCAAACTTGGGTAATTGTGCTAGGGCGTGGGCCTTGAGACTTGCACAAATCTCGACAAGGGTCAGTACAACATTACCTAACACTGCCTTGGGCACATTAGCTCTCCGTTTGGTGATCTTGGTCAGTGTAGCCAGTAAGGAGCGGCATTGCTCAATAAAGTCCCGCCCGTGGTGGAAGGCCAAGAGCTGTAAAGCATGCAATGCAGTCTGTTGAAGCTTCGCCTGCAGTGCAGTGCTGGAACCGCCTTCCAAAATACCATTGATTATCTCCTGTAATGGAGTGAAGAGAACTCCAAAGTGTTCCGCTGACGACTGCTGGAAATAATCACTTGTAGGGCCTAACTTGGTCACCAACAGGTCCAAGACCTTAATGCGCACATATACATGATCGTGCTGCAGTAGCTCGGTGATCACGCTGATAAAATGTTCCGGTGCCAGTAGACCGATGGCGTTATCCAAGACATCGTGGGCATGGTTAGCCAACACCCGCCAGAACTTCTCCAGAGAAGGCGTTTCGGTGGCTGCTTCCAAAGATACATTAATCACGCCCACATATGCGAGTGTCTTCAGGATAAAGTCCTGATAGTAGGGCAATAACTCTGTCGGGTCTGGCCGTTTCATTTTCGCCTGCCATTCGTTACAGCTGCTGATTCCAGATAGGAAGTCCATGATAAGGTACTTGTAGTGGCGCAACTGCTTGAACGTGTGTGTCTCCACATCAAAGATTTGTTCTTCCGTTAATAAAGTTGACGTATCGGTATTCTCCTTCAGACCGCTTTTGCTTGCAGGCAATTTGGCCAAGTGTTCCAACAGACATACGCTAGTTTGTAAGCCAATGGTTGGATCTTCGAACATCAGAGTAAGTTCGCGAGCAAAGTCCAGCCGCGACTTGTCTGTGGAAACCTCCAAAATCACTTGCGACTCGAATACAATGCATAGGAACTGCCAAAGATGTTCTTTGGGCTCTAAGACGCGGAAGAGGGTGGCATAAAGAGGCAATCTCCGATGTATAGGCACATCCGTGCAAATATCAGCAAACACCTTGAGCACGGGTATAACCAACTCTCTATGTCCAGTGTTCAGCAGCAGGATAGGAATAATTGACTCAACAACATTGTGGATAATGTGTAAGCTGAAGGCATCGTCGTGACGGGCCACCGTGGAACCCACGAAGGTAAATATCTCGACGATCTTGAGTAACACCTGCTGCGGATACATACCGGCACAGTGCGTCAGGAAAAGTAGGGCGTGCTGCTGGGTCTGTGGATTGCGGGTATTCCTTAGGCACTGCACCACCAGTTCGATGCGGAAGCAAGATTCGGGCAGAGCCTTAACAAGCTGCACGCCAGCTGACTGGGCCGTTTGGCAACAGTGTAGCAAACTGGAGAGAATTAGCTGTTTGGGATATTCGGCAGCACTCTGCTCTTCCAGCGTTAGACAGGCTTGAAGCAGTTCGAATAGCGAAGGAATCAGCAACTCAGCTCCAACAAGCTGCTTCTTATGTTCCAATAGCTCGAGAAGAGTCATTCCCTGCTTCCAGGATGGGCTGGTCAGATCTAGTTGTTGGACCGCTACAGAGAGTCGTTTTTTGGGATTTTTCTCCTGCACCTTTGTGCTTGCCGTCTCCGTCAGCATAGGCACGAGAGGCTGGCATTCCAAGCGGCAGCGCTTCAACAATCGATGACTGGCCAGGAAAATACTATCGTTGTCCGAGTTGGTAGCCGCCTTCACAATCAGCTTAATGAGAGATAGCTTGTGGTTGGGCTGCATTTGCTCAAACGTCTCAGGTGATAGACTATTAAGAAGAACGCAGGGAAGAGGTTGGAGCTTCTGTTCCAGTAAAACGTAGGTGTCGTCGTGAGCGAAACTCTCCTCGAACAGCGTCCAAGCCAGAGGTTTCCGGAGCAAAACATTCAACGCAACACGTCCTTCGAATTTTTCCAATACCGACTTGTAAATTTCACTATGTGGCCACGGCAGCTGTTTCAAATGCTGTGTGCCATCGCCCGTAGTGATCTTCTTAAGGGATTCAAGCCCCAGCGGTAGTAAATCGGATAAGAAATGCTCTTCGTTCACGTGCTTGAGAGCCGCAAGCAAAGCTGCGGTATAAATGGGCGGTTGCTCGGAATCACAGGCCAATGCTAAAATAGATCTCTTTAGCTTGGACAGGACCAGTTTTTCCTTAGCCGTGGCCTTCTCTGGGTCCAAAATTGTGTACAGAATCAGGGCATACTGTTCATGGTCCATGCCCAGTTCGCTCTTCCGCTGAAGTAACGATCTCACTAATTGCTCCACATGGGACACTAGTTTGCGATTACTAATCAATTCCAGCGTGTTAACGGCCTGAACTCGTAGGGTTTGTAGAGGCGATCCGCAGGCGTTGGCCACCCGCAACACATGAACAAGACTACAATTCAGCTGCGATTTTGGGTTAGACAGCACCGCCTCCAGCAGCAAGAAACCCTGCAGGCGGAAACACGGCATAGTCGGAGTCCCGATGCCACAATTCCGGCAATCGATCGAAGACGTAGAAGTTGGAGAGGAAATCCAGTCTTTCTTGGGCTTCAGGCAAAATCAGTTGTAGGCTTTGCTGTAATGCTCGGGTCCATTCCTGACGCTCTGGCAGATCAATCCGTTCCGAAAAGACTTGTGCGCAAATTATTTCTAACAGCCTCAGACAAAGACGAAGTTCATCAGTCAACTGATTCCAAGGCGTCGCAGACAGATTTGTCCATTTGGTGTTCTTAACCAAAGTCAAAAGAAAATCCACATACAATTGGACAGGGGCAACATTCTGAGAGTTGCGATTTCTGTTAGTTACACGAAACTGCATACGTCGACCGTACAGTACAATTTTTTCCAGCATGTGAAGGCTTTCCAGTGGGTGCAGTTCTTTTTTGGCATAAGCAGTCAGCAGAAGTAACAGGTGGGTTAACTGGGAGGCATCCTGTATGTAAGCTTCACCTCCGTGATCTTCTATGCTTTGTAGAAGCGCCCTTTCTTGACTTAGCAACTCCTCACTGCTGCTCGCTATCACATCCAGAAAATGCTGACGATGCTCATTGGCTTTAAAATCGCTGAATTCCTGGCTCACTTTTAGCTTAGATAAAAATGGAACTTTGCAGGAGAAATCACTAGTGAGCAGAATAAGAAGAGCCGTATGCTCATGCTCTGCCAGAGCCTCACCAGGAAACAGCAGCGGCATCAGCGCCAATAAGACAAGATTTTTGTCATAATAGCCGCTTACAAGGTCTGAGGTCAGGTGGCGGACAGCCAACGAAACCACAGGTCGCCACTCTTCATCCTTTTCAGATTGAGCACGGTTTAGTAGACTGCAAAGGGTTTGGGCTAGAGGTACAGAACCTAATATCTCAGCAAGCTCTTCAGTTGATAAAGAAAGCATAGCCGACACTACAGAACCACTGTCATCATTGATCCTGTCTGACAGACACTCTTGAAGTAGCTTTAAGCTTCTCTCTCGTTTTTTAGACGACTTCAGGTTTTTAAGCAGTTGCTGAACAGCAGCCAGTCGCCAGTCTGCGCTGTAGTGGTAAAGCTTCTCGTATGCGTGCTTTGCCTTCTCATCGGTGGTATTGAGACGGAATCCTGAATGCAAATAACGTTATAAAATTACAATTTGGAGCGAGATAATCCTAATTTACATACCTAGGGCCAACTTCAAGGCCTTTTTGCGATTACTTGTAGCAGATTTCGTTCTTAATGCTTCCTTAACACTCAAATCAAAAGCTTCCGCATAACGTCTCTCCAGCTTTTCGAGGTAAGAGGAAAACCATGTTTGAAAGCTGGTCTTTTCCGTTTCGGTCTCATCGTCAGAATCAATTACTATGGTATCGTCATCGGTTTCCATTGGCTCTGGTGCCTCGCTTTCTGTTTCCACGAAAGTATCCAGAAAGCAACTGAAAAAGGTGTCATAAAAAAGTTGAAATAATTTCATTTGATTTGTGAGTTTATTTACCGCTAATTATAAAATAACACTAAAACTAAATAAATAATTGGACATTTTTGACTTGAAATACTTACTTAATCAATTGCTGGGCAGTCGGCACTGCCATTGGCACATCCGAAAGAAGGTTGTCCAAGAATTGTTTGCACGAGTTGGAGGCAGCGTCATTCTCTCTAATGGCGGCCACAGAGCCCGTGATGAGTGGCATGCAAATGGACTGAATGGCAATATTGCTTTTTGCCAGAGAGGCCAGAGTCGAGATGAGCCACTTCTGGCCAACCAGATTGAGGACGGTTTCGGGCTTAAATTGAGGCACTGCGGCCTGCTGTTTGCCATATATGCATATGAGCAGAAGCAGGGATTCGCTGTGCAGCCTTTCGAACGGGCAATTGGCCACGCGTTCGAGGAGGGCGTTGCACACCTTGCTTTTCAGCTTGGTGCGGGAGACGAGCTGGGCGACGATTACATAGGCAGCGGCCATGAAATCAATGTTATCCGAAACCAAACCACGCAGCAGGGACTCCAAAGATCGTTGTTATATGCCAATCTTGCAGAGGTTTCGCCGTCTGCAAGGCGCCCACCACGACGGTGGCATAGAAGTTGATCTGGGCTTGCAGTTGGTGGGCCCTCGGACCCAGTTCCTTGACCGTCTTCTGGGTGTTCTGACAAATGAAGCCCAGGAATGCAGGATTGCTGGCAGCTCTGTTGATGATGGCCGTCTTAGCAAGTGGGACGGCAGGACGCTGCAACGGTCGCAGCCAGTACCAATCCGCATCCGATGACCGGAGCCTCATGGTCTTTAATATCTTTACGAAGGTAGGGGTCTCGTGGTATGGCAGAATTAGGGCCATCACCTCGTTGCGGTTGTACTCGTGCACCTGGAATCGACGCAAAAGCCACTCGAAGGCCAAGTGAGCAGGGCGCAACAGGAGGTAGGGCGATAAAAGGCGCAGGAATTTTCCGATGGCTGCGTCCAGCATTTTGTTGACCTCAGGCAGCTCAACGGATCGCTCCAATGTTAATGTAGCCTCATCAAAAAGCGTCAGCTGGAACTCCTTAAAGGCCGGGTTGAAGTCGGTCAGCTCCTGCAATCCCACTACCCCAATCTCGTAGATGGATTTTCGGTCCTTGGTAGCCGCCTCCTTGGGATCGAAAAGCAAGGAGGCTCGACTTCGTGCATCCACCAAAGTGATGGACGACTGCGGAGCCGCTAATTTCTGCAGCTGCTGGGCCAAAGCGGTACTCATCTTGAACGGCCTTTCTTTTATTTCTTTATAATTAAATTTCTTCTTTATTCAAAAAAAAATAATAAACCGTGCGGCGACCGCGCTCCACACGTGTTTGTGTTAGTGTGACCAGACTCTGGTCACCAGAGTCTATCAACAAAAAGCCTGGAAAATTCACAATCGCCTACATGGGAATTAGCATATTCACGAACCGTGTTAATAGGATTTTTTAAATATATATTTTAATTAATTACCAGATTATATGTTCCACCAAAACAATTTAGATATAGTATTAGTAGAACATTAAATATTTTTTATAAGTGATAACCAAAAAACTAAAAACAACAAATCGAAAAAGGCCATGGGAAATTTATAACGCCTTAAAGACTCTCTTCTTAATTATTTGATAGTTTTTTTTAATAACTTGAAAATGTTTTATTGGAAAAGTAGTATAGCATTAAAATGTAGATCAGTTTTTGTATAAAATCTCTAAGTATTAAAGATTTTTTTTCCAAACTAAAGGGAAAATTTTCTAAATAACAAAACCAAAATTTAAAGACTTGTTTTTCGATATCTAGATAAAATATATTTGAGGGTTTACAAGTTTTTAAATTTAAAAACAAACATGACCAAATGGTCCTTAATACTTTTCGAGAGTTCATAGAACAAAATAAACTTAAGAGAAGTATTGTACAGAACAGCAAAACTTTTATGTACTAAGTTTCTAAGTATTAAAAATATTTATGTTTCGCGTATGTGAAAAGTACTTAATCTCTCTGAGGTACAGATTTCTGACAAACCTTAACATAAACAATCTAAAAACAAATGTGAGAATGTTTGTGATGACAAAATTGAACTTAATGCGATGATCATAATATGGAATTAATGAGATTTGGGCAAATCGAATACTAAACGTAAATATAAAACCTATATTATGGCTAAAAGCAGAGCCGCTTGAGCGAGTTTTTCCTTCTGATCTTGGGATCGCGGTTCTGGGCGCGTTGTGGTGGCGTGAGCCGTTCACGGGGCATCATGAGTTTAGAGGGCGTGTCCAATTCGGTGACCAGGCAACGCTCGCCGGGATGCGACTTGCACAGACAGTTGACGCAAAACCGGAACTGGCAGATGACACTTGTGCATTCGGCGAAGTTGTAAGCGGGTGCTTGCGTTGGGGTCCTCATTTCGTCGAGGTCCAGAGACAAGAATCGCTTGAGAGGGGTCCGCCTGTGTTGAGGAATGTGCTGTTGTTGCGTCCGATGGGCAATGTTTGGGACAGCGCTACGTCACCGCTCCTAGCTGCCTCACTGATAAAAACCCGACTGCCTCTACCGCAGCGTGGACACTTTACGCGCTGCGCCTGCTCGCGCAGAACTCTACCGGCATCCACTTCCTTCAAGTGGATGCTAGAGTTCCCTGAGTCCATAAGCGAGGCGGCACTGTTGGCCAGACTGCTGTGGTTTGAGGTTTGCAATGGCACGGTATGGTTTGCCTTGGGCACATGGTTGCACCGCTTGGGCACGCAGTGATTCTCTTTGGTTAGGGTTAGTTTGAGCCGATGGTTCTGCAGGCGCTCCAAATCCTGTTGGCTGCTGTAAACGGCTTGCTTCCAGGCTGCTGATACTTGAGTCATTACGTCCAGCGTGTGGCTGCCGACATGGCGCAAAATGCATTCCAGGGCCGGTTTGTTTTGGGCAAGCTTGGCTACGATGTCCAGATGCTCCACGCCGCCATAGAATCGGTTCTTGGGCGGTGGTTGATCAAGTTGGGGGAAGAGCAACTTCTTGGATTTTTTTGGACTGCTGTGTGGTGGTTGAAAATGCTTTCTCCGTTTTTTCACACTGTGCTCCTCCTGCAGGAGGGACGTCATCGAAAAGGGCTCCCCCTCCACAGAGCATCGCCTATGCGGCAGCTTCTTGGGATGTGGCTTGCCCCAGTGGAGGTCCTGCTCCTGATGGCCACTGGGCGTAGAAAATCCCCGAACCAAAATTGAGGTGTTCGACACATTGCGACAGTTCTCGCCTTCAGCGTCCTCCAACAAAAATGGCGTCTCCGCGGTTGAGTTATGCAGCGCCCGGAAGGATGTGTATCCGGATTCGTTCATATCTGCCTCAACAGATCCCCGACTGGGGCTCTTGTTACGCAGCGCCGCGCGCCTGTAGTACGCGCTCATCTTGGGCGAATTTTAAACTTTCGAATTGATATGCTATTTGCATGGGTTGCTTGTTTTTGTTTCAGATAACTTCTGAGCTCTCAGTGCGTCGATTGACATTTGTTTGTTATCGATTCCCCATCGCGATCGAAAAAGGTGACAGTATTGAGCGGGTGTGTAACTTTGCTAAGTTCGTTAGTTGTAGTCAGTGGAATGCTGGCAGGTATAAAACTTAGTTCTTTAACAATTATACTCTGATTATCATGAAATTTTGGTAGCATAAGGGTTAAAGTTTTTGACTACATTTTTGCACAAAGAAAGTACTATGAGTACTGTGTAGAATGTCAGAATTCATAAGACTGATTTTATTTTTTAACAGAAAGTTAACTTTTGGGTTTTACCAATACAGTAATACAAGCAATAATAAGCTCAATGTAGAGATATATAGTACTTGGCATTAAACGTTAATAATTTTAATATTATTTGTATTTAGTTACTTTAAGTAATGTTAATTATAAGTTTAAAAAATAAAAGATATTTATAGGTGTACCAAAATGAATGTTCATTTTTTTTTGTAGACTTACTTGATTTTTGACCTGGAAATATTGCATGGTTTTAAAATCACAAAAAAGCTAAGGAGGAGCTAAGGTCTAAAATATTACCTTTGAATGATTTGTAAAAAAAAATGTTTTTAAATTGTGAAAATTAACCTCATAGACAGCCAAAATCAGGTGCAAGTAATAAACAACCAGTTTATTTTCATTTTCAAAATCAAAATATTTCAAAATGTTTTAAAAAAAATAAATCATTCTCAGAATGACAATTAAGAATCGAATCTTTACAAATACATATATGTATGTTTTTTTTTAGGCAGGATAATCTGTCCTTGGCCATCATCAGTGTCATCAAATTAACAGAAATCCCTCAATAATTTATCATTGGTAGTCCCTGGCTCGTCCTTAGCTTTGCTTTGTCCTTTTCCCTCCATATTTCTTGTGTCCTTTCTGCCACCGACAAATTTGCCGGCTCAAGTTTTTTGTGCAAATCATGACGGAGCATAGATTTCGGATTCGTGTGGAAGTCTTCCTTCACCGTTCGGTGGATAGTTTCGTCAGTTGTCCATATTGCCGATGACAGAAGCCCCATGACCCACCACCCATCTACCTATCTACCACTTGCCACCCCATTCCCGGTCCCACTTCCGAGAGTCCGACGACTTCATCCACTTGCTGGGGGAGAATGAGAGGTCGAGAGTCTGTTGTGGTTGCCGGGGGAAAATCAATGAATGATATTTCCTTTATGAGGCTCAATTATTTGCTGCGGGGATTTGCTATTCTTCCCCGGATTCTGTCATCTGGTTCGTGCCTCATTGTCCTTCTAAATGCTTTGGCAAAATATTTTGGGTATTTGTGCTGTCTTTTGTCAGCCCGCACAGCAGCGGCTCCTGCGTTAATAATTTATGAATATTTGCTCATTTATTGTTTTCAATTATTTATGGTTTTATTATTTGTCTATTTGCCGGCCCAAGGGGTTGGCCAAAAGGAGGCGTGGCGGAGGGCAAAGATTTTGTTTTGATTTTAATTAAATCGACAGACGCACATCCGCTTAATTTAAAGTCATTTGACTGTCCTAATCTCTTTTCCACTCTCCTTGTTCCAGTCTTTTGAGGGCGTCGGTTCGGTGGCATATTAATTGTGGCTGTGGCTTAGGAATTAATTTGCGGTTCATTGGTTCAGCCCATGAGGTCGTGGTATCCTTATTTGCCTTCAGATGCCAGGGATGTTAACTAATGACTTTGTCATTGTAAGCTAAACGAGTGGAACTATGGGATTTCCTTTTTGTATTTATTTTTGACGATTTAATGTATCTTAGTCACTAATGTTTTTATTTATGTTTATTAATAATTTATTTTCAGAAAACTAAAAGGAATTGGGAATATCAATCATCTTTCATTATCTTTACTTTCTTGATAGATATTTTTAGAAAACATTTCGAGGGTTTTTTCATTTCAAACATTTTAGTACTAGTTTTATTAACGCCAAAACTTGATTTCAAATGCTTCTATATTAAACCTTAAACTGGATAACTGGCATAACTGCAGTGTTCTGAGTTCCTGTTTGATTTGCTTTACCTTAAGAATCCTAATATTTTCTGGCTAACCCCTAAACTAACGCCAACAGTAAACAATCCTTGCGGGTAGGAGAAGCCTAAAGGCAAATCCATGTCCATAAGGTTTTGACATATGTATCGCTTATATGCATACATATGTTTTATGTGGAGCAATGTTTGCTCGGATATTGATATCGGGCTGATTAATTTCAGTTTACGCACCAGAACGACCCGAAATGATGACAAATGGAGGGCAGCAAAGGCAAAGGCTAAAGGAGTAGGCAAAGGAAACGCAGAACGAGTCAATATTTGCACTCAATCCGTACATATGCTCTAATTATTATCCTTTTAGCAGTGGGCAGTGCTCTGTTTGGCATTATGTCGCTGCACGCACACCCACTCCACTTCACCCCATAGCCCAACCTAACGCCCCATGACAGTCCGATCAAACATGGGTCGGTCGCTCGAATCAACTAATTATGGTAATTTACCGCGGAATGTCAACAAATATTTTGTAACCGGTTATTTTATCGCACGGCCGCGACTCACGTAAGTCCTTTACAAAAGAAGGAGGATTCCGTAGCCACCCCACTCCGTATAAAGTGCAACTGGAGCAGGATGGCATTGGAAATGGAGCTGGACAGGCCCAGTCCTTGGCAGTCGGAGCATTTGACAAACGATGTTTACCGCGGTGGGAGGCCATCCTGGGTGTCCTTGCCACTATACGAAGCGGTCTGATTATTTTTAACCAACCGAACGGACAACCTCAAATGGCTGTGCAAGCAAAGTAACCCGAACTGGAGCTCGAACGGAACCCAATTCGCTTGATTGTGTTTGATTTTGGCGGTGGGTCCTGATGTATTTTTATTTTTACTACCTGGGGATAGAAGGGGTAGACTAGTTCTCTGGTGACAGCCTATTTATAGGAAAGGTTTTTCGAGAGCCTCAACAGTATTTCGGTATTTTTCTTTACTAACTCGAATAAAGAACATAAAATGAACTCAATCAATTCTTTTAAATAAAATTTTGTTTGCTTATATCAAAAATTTTTTTTACTAAATTATAAACGTTAATACTTTAAAAGTAGTTTTCTTAACTAGTCACAGTACTTCTTCTTCTTCTATTAAATTTTTTTTTGTAAATATATTTTCGGCCTAAGGTGTATTTTACGTCCATAACTCAACTTCCATTTTTCAACTATTTGTTCGCTTTTATTATGGCCCACTGCGTGGTAATTCATTTTTAGTCAATAAATCGCTCAGTTGCGGTTACCTTTTGGCCCACGTAAAAGGGTGTGGCGAAAAGAAAAGAAGAAGCAAACTGATTACCAAGCCAAAGTTGAGAGCCAGAGGAGCCATATTAATTTGATGGTAATAAGAATATAATCGCACTCATTTATCATTTTAATGTTTTTGCACTTCGCGAGGTGGGCGAGCCAGAACTCTGAGCGCTTAAGTCAGGTTAAATAAAATTTAACCATTTAATGATATTCTTATTTTAATCGTTACAAATGGACGAAGATTATATTTATTAATTTATACTTTTAAAATCTAGTTGTGTTTTTGGTTTATGTTAAAAAAAAAGTTCACTCTTGATTAGGAAGCTAAAACTTACAATACTAACTAACGCAATATAGAAAAGCTAAAAGAAATCAATCAATCACCAAAATTATATTAAGAAATTAAAAAATTTAAAATGGAATTGATCATTGGTTTATTTGAGTAACTTGATACATTGCAGTGCCCAAAGACAATTTGCAAAAATTGATTGATTCGCCAATTGCGATTATTTTGTATCTTTTAAAAATAAAACCATCCATCCCAGTCTTTCGAGTGCGACACGTGCAGTGCACATGACAAATGGCAGAACTCAGATGTGCAAATTTTAAAATGGTTTATTTTTAATTTTCAATTAGCAGATTGCAATTTATTTCATTTTTTATTTCACATAAAAAATTGTAGTACGCGAACTGCAAACGAAATGTGTAATTTGGTACACTTAAAATAATTTATTTTTCTGTTTCCCTTAATTTATATCTTTTTTTTGAGCTTTTTAATTTGAAGTTGCGGATCCTTGTCACCCCTGTTACTACGATTTGTCAAAGAAGCAATTGGAAAGCAAGCCAAGTGTCCAGGACGGAGAAGGGTTAAAGGTAAAGGGTCAGCCGTTTGAGGGTCCCAAAGAGAGAAAGCCACGGTCTAACTCCCAATCGTGTGAATTAATCATGGGGCGGCTATTTCTGTTTCGGTGGAAAAAATGCGAAAAGTACACGGAAAAACGGTTTCAATTTGAATAATATGACGAAAGGGCCGCTCCAAAAAGGGTTGACAGCAAGGTGTCTATGTGTGGGTTACCACTTTCGGGGTGTCACTGTCACCCGGTTCATTTCGCATTCACAACATGCTCCTGGCATCGCGGCTTCTTTTGCCAATTTCATTTAGCGGCATCATTTCTGCTCGTGCCTTTGTCATTTTTTCTCAATTCCATCTCCTTTTTTTTTTTGCGATTTGTACTCCCTAGCTGTTGGAAAACAAGATAAATGATTTCAAACTTGACTTTTCATTTTGTATATTAGCCGGAACGTGCCGCACATAGTTCATGTCACCCCTTCCCCGCCGCCACCTGAACCTGAACACTGGCTAACCGATTCCAAAACCCGTGGAAATACGGAAAGAATCTAATTGTTTTCTATTAACGAGCCTCGATTTGTTCCATGACTTTTACACATTCGGTTGATCAAAATATCACACACTCCGTTATTTGTTCACCCCTCCCTCCTGTCCTTCTGAGTCCGATTCCTCCCTTCGAGGCTCTCACCCCCACCCACCTCTATTTGGACATATGTTGCTCTGCTCGGACCGATGATCTATAGCCCTGGCTTGTCGCCGCTGATTATGGTGGCTACAAAGGCTGCGGACCATGAAGTGGTGGCTGGTAGAACTCAGACCTTGACTTGCAATCCGACGCCGTAAACACTGTTTGCATTTAGGATGAAATTCAAT